ATATATATATGTATTCACTAACTGTAAGTCGCTCTGGATAAGAGCGTCTGCTAAATGACTTAAATGTAAATGTAAATGTAAGGCGGTGCCAGAGGGTAATAAGTGCAGTTTTTAGAGGACTGCCATTGGCTGAAAACGCAAGTGGCCCACAATAGAGAAAATACAATTTAGATATCAAATGTCATTGAAAAATTTGAGTTCTGACTGGATTGGCATGATGGATGGAGATTGCTTTGCAGTACATTTCCTATGCAACACTACTTCTGACATTTAACGGCATTGAAGCCAGCTGAACTATTTCCACGAATTAATGACTGACATCCAGATGTGTTGTAATAGTAGGAATCTAATGATTTGTTTAATATTGAACAATAGTAAGTCTAACCACTCCGATCATATTCCCTCCCTCAATACTCCACAAGGAAGCAAAGAACGTTCATCAATGGCAGAGAGCGGATGAACTGAATCATTACTCAAAGCCCGCTTCGCGCTCAGAAGGGAATATCGCAGCTTATCATCATGGGTTGCGAGACCAAACACTTTAGAAACACATTTCTCAAGTCAAGAACTATAGAAATGATCCCTGAAAGTATAGTCTTAATTGAATAGAGGGCGAGCGAAGGTAGCAAATTTCAGAGCTGTCATTCTCAATAAAGGTTTCCCACAGTATAAAGAGCACACTATAGGACCACGTGGCCAAAATCATGCTTATTGGGCTACTTTTCATCAATAGGTAACATATGGAATCAATTATTGTCGTGTTTTATGACCAAGAAAGCTTCACAAAATACATTTTCAAGTTGCTCCACAATATAACTTTGCAAATGAGGGAGGTGCCAGAAGGTACTTCATGCAGTTTTTAGGGGACTGGCATTGGCTGAAAAAGTCAGTGTCCCACAATAGACAAAATACAATTTAGATTTCAAATGTAATTGAATAATGTGAGTTCTGACTGGTTTGAAATGTTGACATATTTCCTATTCAACGTCATTGCAAGTCTGACAATGGGAATATTTAACAGCATTGAAGCCAACTAGGTTACGTTGATGACCTAGTCATCACAAATTAGCTTACATAAACAAAGCTAATTAATATTGAACAATGTTACGAACTTACCACTCTGATCATATTCCCTCCCTCAATGCTCCACAAGGAAGCAAAGAACGGTCATCAATTGCAGAAAGCGGATGAACTGAATCATTACTCAAAGCCCGCTTCGCGCTCAGAAGGGAATATCGCATCTCATCATCGTGGGTAGCGAGACCAAACACTTTAGAAACACATTTCTCAAGTCAAGAACTATAGAAATGATCCCTAAAAGTATAGTCTTAATTGAATAGAGGGCGAGCGAAGGAAGCCTATGTCGGAGCTGTCATTCTCACTAACGGTTTCCCATGGTATAAAGAGCACACCATAGGACCACGTGGCCTAAATCATGCTTATTGGGCTACTTTTAATCAATAGGTAACATATGGAATCAGTAATTATTGTATGTTTTATTGGATCACACAACAAGCACTTGCTATGCCCAAGAAAGCTTCACAAAATACATTTTCAAGTTGCTCCACAATATAACTTCACAAATGAGGGAGGTGCCAGAAGGTACTCATGCAGTTTTTAGGGGACTGGCATTGGCTGAAAAAGCCAGTGTCCCACAATAGACAAAATACAATTTAGATTTAAAATGTAATTGAAAAATGTGAGTTCTGACTGGATTGAAATGATGACATATTTCCTATTCAACGTCATTGCAAGGCTGACAATCAATCAATCAATCAATTTTATTTTATATAGCCCTTCTTACATCAGCTAATAAACCCAGCCTAAAACCCCAAACAGCTAGTAATGCAGGTGTAGAAGCACGGTGGCTAGGAAAAACTCCCTAGAAAGGCCAAAACCTAGGAAGAAACCTAGAGAGGAACCAGGCTATGAGGGGTGGCCAGTCCTCTTCTGGCTGTGCCGGGTGGAGATTATAACAGAACCATGCCAAGATGTTCAAAAATGTTCATAAGTGACAAGCATGGTCAAATAATAATCAGGAATAAATCTCAGTTGGCTTTTCATAGCCGATCATTAAGAGTTGAAAACAGCAGGTCTGGCAGACAATGGGAATATTTAACAGCATTGAAGCCAACTACGTTACGTTGATGAACTAGTCATCACATACTAGCTTACATAAACAAAGTAAATTAACTTTAACAATGTTAAGAACTAACCACTCTGATCATATTCCCTCCCTCAATGCTCCACAAGGAAGCAAAGAACGGTCATCAATGGCAGAGAGCGGATGAACTGAATCATTACTCAAAGCCCGCTTCGCGCTCAGAAGGGAATATCGCATCTCATCATCGTGGGTAGCGAGACCAAACACTTTAGAAACACATTTCTCAAGTCAAGAACTATAGAAATGATCCCTGAAAGTATAGTCTTAAAAACCAATGGGCGAGCAAGGGAAGCCTATTTCCGGACAAGCTTTTCCACTAACGGTTTAAACAAAATGTGCATTGTCTGCGAGATCTTCAGAGGTAAATATAAACCTATTAATGGAAACAAAGTATTTTTAATAAAATGTACGCCAATTTCTATAATTACATATAAAAAATGATTAATATTCTGCGAATTTCAGTACCCACAATACCTTGCTGGTGACAACCACTGTTAACAGTGGTGGCAGAGCTGAGCTGGAGGACAACTTTATACAAAGATGTACTTGTGATTTGTACATTTAAAACAAGACCCTATTGAAAAATGTGTTTACATCTATGTGTCTGGATATGTGTATTCTTTCGCTTTTTTATAGTGAAATATGCACGAGAAGTTTCGAAAACATGATATTTACATGGTGGAATCGATTTATGAGCGTACTGGTGCATCGGGGAGAAGTGTCCTGATGGAATCATAAGAACGCATTTATTGTTCCGCTTTTCAAATAAATGGCGCGTTACGCCACAAATTGACCTGCTTGCGAAATAACGGCACAATAACAGTAATATAAAGATGTGATAAAATAAGTAAAAACGCATTCATTAAAGCATTATTAAATGTAGCTAGCTATACAAGCTGGTGTCACGGCCGTAATTATAGAAATACGTTTTAAAGTGTAAACCTGGCAAAACTTTTCTGAGTGTCTGACAGTGAGAGGAATCTGCGTTAGCTAGCGTAGCACAGCTAGCTAGCCAACAAACAGCTACATCTAATTTTTCGCTGAACTTACCAGCAGCCACAGGAGGCTGCTAAGGGGAGGACGGCTCATAATAATGTCTAGAACAGCGAATGGAACGGCATCAAACATATGGGAACCGTGTTTGATTCCATTCATTCCGCTCCAGCCATTACCACAAGCCCGTCCTCCCCAATTAAGGTGCCAGCAGCAACCTCCTGTGCCAGCAGCTCATCGCTAGCCTTCTCAGTTGATGAAAGGAAAAGAAACAAACCGCAGCCTTTTTAGAAAAATACATACCATTTGATAATAGAGTTCATGTCGCAGGTGCATGTCAGCTGATAATACACATTTGGTGGATAAAAAATGTAAAGCCCAAGTGCGCATGCCCATTCTATGTAGTTGGCTGAAAAAATGAATACAGTATGCTATTATGCAAAACAGGCTTTGTTTCCTTCAAAATTCTTTATTCATGCATTCATCACGCTTTTCATTTACTCTGTCAAGTTCTTTTCACACCAACCATACACTTCACTGCTTGGTTGAGGGAATGGTCGGGAAAAAAACAATATATTCTATAGCTTCTTATATAATGCAAATAAGCAGAGTAACTATAAATTAGTTATGTCAAACCATTGAAGTTATTTAATATTCAAACTAAATACAGAGATACACCTTGAATCGTTGAACAGAATGAAATCAGTATCATGCTTACCTGATCAACATTTCTAATCAAAACGTCTGCTCATAATATTGCTGTGAAGTAGATTTATAGTGCAAACAGATTAATAATTCAATAAATAAATACAAGCATTACCAATTGAGGTGAAATGTTGATCAATGACATAGTGACTTCAGTTGAATCAAGGAACCCTAGGTTGCACAGTACACTGGGAGGAAGACAGGTTAGCAATTAGCTTTCTGAAAAGTTAAAATACAATTAGTTGCTGGAATGGAATTAGTTTTGACAGGGAAGACATGTAGAAAAAAGGCACACATGAAAAAAAGTTATCCTTCTTCCCCACTTAATCATTACAAACGTAACACACACAACCAAAAGAAGACAAGGAGTCTTAAAGGAATAACATGTTCTTGCTCTCTCTTTCTCGCTCTCATTTGGAAGATCATCAATTACAAGCATTTCAAAAACATACTACTATTGCTTCATTGTAGAATTCATTGCATGTGTAGGCTATGTATTGATCTTTATTATCTAGCCAGATGGCCAAACCTGCTGCTGAATATATGAAAGTAGGCCTGTGTAAACTGAAAAAAAGGATTCATAGAAAAATACATGATTAAGACGTTAATATTTCAGATCCTCTTCCTTCTCCCATACCTTTCTTTCACTAGTAAAGGCATTTGATACAGACACTACATTTGACCATGCAGGCTCTTACTGGAATGTAAGTAACCGTCTTTATTTGACAATTATTATATTACAAAGCTTATTGTGATCCGAGCATTTTTACCATAAATTGTTCTATATTGTGAGTAATCAGTGATTAGTTACAACTTTCTGTAAAACTGTAATTTTTTGTGCTTATTAACATTTTTTATGAGTACTGCTTAAATACTAGGTACGGTAATGTAGGCTATACACCCCTGGCCTACTTGCAATGGGATGAAAATGGATTGCGGAATTGATCCACGATTGGATGAACTGGACAACTGAAACCAATGAGATGTCTGTTGCAAAAACGGCAGCTTCTCTGCATGCTAGTAGACGGGATGGTGGCTTAGAACGCAGACTTAGAAACACTTGGAACCACAATGTTCCCCTGCAGAAGGTTCATTGAATCCTTCACCTCCAGTCCCCCTCCACCTCTTTTCCTCGACTTCATCGTCTTCTCCTCATCTTCCTCCACTTCTTCATCCTCTTCCTCTTCTCCTCATCATCCTCTTCCTCCTCCTCTAAACCTTGGCCTGGAACCTCCTCCAGAGCCGGCGGACCTGTTTCCCGGCCTCAGCACGCACGCAGATGGGGAAGGAGGCGTGGTGTTTCCTGTTCACCTGGTAAACAATGACAATGGTACCATTAAACAGGAAATATAGCCGGGGATAGACTAATACACAGGCCTGTGCTTATATCTTGTAGCCTGGTCCCAGATCTGTTTTATGCCGTCTTTCCAACTCCTATGGTCATTATTTGGTGTTAGTTGGCAAGGCATAGCAAACAGATCTGGGGCCAGACTATATTTCTTGTAACAATACTGGAAAATAGATTGTAGGGTATTTCAAGGTATTATCATCGGATACTTGCATAGATGCACCTTAGTCCTGATATGCTTCTATAGGTGATCTGAAAGGACTTGATGGGTCTTGAAGTGATATTGTGTCAGTCTACTTGATGGGTCTTAAAGTGATATTGTGTCAATCTATCCAGATCTTTTGAATATCAAGGGAATAGGTCAGAGGTTATAGGTCATTGAGATAGACAGAGCTGCGGTTCGCAGGGCCATTGAGAATAGGTCAGAGGTTATAAATCAAATCAAAATCAGATTTGATTAGGTCAGAGGTTATAGGTCATAGATGAGATAAGAGATGATGAGTGGATTGTGGGTAATACTTATCTGCCAGCTAGCTCCTTCTTCATACACGACTTGAAGGAAGTGAATCGCTCGGCGGTTTTGTAGCCCTGGGGTTAGCGAGCAGCAGAGTGGGAGAAACAGATAGGGTGGGAAAAGAGAGAGAGAGAAAGTGATAGAAGGAGGGGGTGTTGGGATGCTGTTAGTCAAAAGGGAAGCCAGGACGATGAGGCCAGTAATATTTCAAAGACTCAAGATCCATGCATAGGACATCAATGTAGCACTCGTTCAAGGGCGATTGAGTGGCGTAGTATTAGAATTAATTCATACATATTATGCAACTGCCATGTGTGGGGCCTATGAGTTTTTCTCTGACCACATGCCTTATCTGACTAGGAAAAACAATGGGCCCTAGTCATGATGACTGTTGTAACTGTTGTAACTTCACATACCACTAGGGGGCAGTAAAACACTTTGGAAGTGCAGGGAAGGTAGTCAAAATCGGAGCTGTGTCATTTACATCACCAAAGACCTCCATATAACTGTGTAACTAAATTTGCTCTAGATAAAGACCTTAAAATTGCCACCACTTTTATGGCTGTCGACTAAAGTTAACAGTCAAAAGCTAGATTCAAATTACATTGTCCAAGTGTAACATAAAATAAAATGAGAGCATGTCAAATTTCTAGTGATGGAAATACAAACTAGATCATTCTGGCTTTCCCCCCCAATTTCACTCTCTCTCTCTCTCTCTCTCTCTCTCTCTCTCTCGCCCACCCGCCCGCCCGCCCCCTCTCTCTCGCTCGCTCGCCCGCCCACTCGCTCGCTCGCCCGCCCTCTCTCTCTCTCACATGCCCTCTCTCTCTCTCTCCCCATCTCTCTCCTCTCACCTTTCCCTCCCACCTTCCCTCCTCTCCTCCCTCTCTCTCTCACCCAAATTCTTCCTCCCTCTTTCCCACTCTCTCTACCTCAGTCCTCCCCTCTCTCTCTGTCCCTACCCTCCCTCCGCGGTGCAGCCGGTCCTTCATGATGCCGATGAACTCCTTGTAGCTCAGCTGGTCATCGTGGTCCACGTCAAAGATCTTGAAGATGGTGTGGACCAGATGACGTGTCAGCTTCAGGCCCGTGGCCACGTACACAGCCCGCCCAAACTCATCTGTGAGAGAGAGAGCGAGAGAGAGAGAGATAGAGAGAAAGAAGGGGTGGGAAAGAGAGAAGGTCATGAAGACAGAAAGCGAGAGAGGAAGAGAGAGAGAGAGTGAGAGAGAGAGGGGAATACAACAAAGAGAAAAAGATGGAGGAGAAAAGTAACCCACAGAGATTATTCACAAGAGACTACTGAGCGAAGGGGAAATATCGCCACAGATATGAAATCCTAAAATGGAGGCTTACCTTGGCCAATGGAGCGACTGGCAAAGTTGTACATCTGCATGGCGATGGCAAAGTCCTCCAGGTTGTTGAGGAACTGGAAGAAGGAGCGGAACTCGTCGAAGGTGATGCCCTGTGAAGAAAAAAGACAGGGGAACCATATAAGTGTGACACACGGAGCCGTCCACCAACGGACACGGAGTGACAGACAGTTCTTCCAGGTCTCTGAATAGGGGGGATGCTTCAAGCTCAAACCCATTCAATTGGTGATGATGGTATGATCATGTGACCTTTGACCCATGCAACTTTGTCCCCCTTGACTGTAGGAACTAGGCCAGGGAATGACAGCGGGTGCGTTCATGGTCGTCTTTTTCACAGCCATGCTACACATTTAATACGATCAGATATGAATGTGGTTCCTGAGTGGTTCCTTCTGCAGACGTTGTGAGATCTGATCATCTGCGCAGCGTGACTGCAAAAATAGAGGTTTGCAGGTTTCACAAGTTTAACGCAAGGCTTTCTGGTATTACTTCATTGAAAATAAAAGGTAATTATAAGAAATGTAGACACACATTGGTTTGCAGTGTGGAACATGTAGACATACATTAGTTAGAGGTAGTCGTTCCATTGAGTTAGCATAGCTATTGGCTTTGAAGGCTGGAGCCCAAGGTTCCACAGGACGTGAAGGCATGCTCCAGTGACCACCAATAGTCTGTCTGTAGGTATCACTAATTTTAGCCCGAGCTGCATCACACTAAAACAAAGAATAAAAGAAAGGTATGAGACACAGGAGGTTGGTGGCACCTTAACTGGGGAGGACGGGCTCGTGGTAATGACTGGAGCGGAATCAGTAGAATGGTATCAAATACACCAATACAGTGGGGAAAAAAAGTTTTTAGTCAGCCACCAATTGTGCAAGTTCTCCCACTTAAAAAGATGAGAGAGGCCTGTAATTTTCATCATAGGTACACGTCAACTATGACAGACAAAATGAGGAAAGAAAATCCAGAAAATCACATTGTAGGATTTTTTATGAATTTATTTGCAAATTATGGTGGAAAATAAGTATTTGGTCAATAACAAAAGTTTCTCAATACTTTGTTATATACCCTTTGTTGGCAAAGACACAGGTCAAACGTTTTCTGTAAGTCTTCACAAGGTTTTCACACACTGTTGCTGGTATTTTGGCCCATTCCTCCATGCAGATCTCCTCTAGAGCAGTGATGTTTTGGGGCTGTCGCTGGGCAACACATACTTTCAACTCCCTCCAAAGATTTTCTATGGGGTTGAGATCTGGAGACTGGCTAGGCCACTCCAGGACCTTGAAATGCTTCTTACGAAGCCACTCCTTCGTTGCCCGGGCGGTGTGTTTGGGATCATTGTCATGCTGAAAGACCCAGCCACGTTTCATCTTCAATGCCCTTGCTGATGGAAGGAGGTTTTCACTCAAAATCTCACGATACATGGCCCCATTCATTCTTTCCTTAACACGGATCAGTCGTCCTGGTCCCTTTGCAGAAAAACAGCCCCAAAGCATGATGTTTCCACCCCCATGCTTCACAGTAGGTATGGTGTTCTTTGGATGCAACTCAGCATTCTTTGTCCTCCAAACACGACGAGTTGAGTTTTTACCAAAAAGTTCTATTTTGGTTTCATCTGACCAAATGACATTCTCCCAATCCTCTTCTGGATCATCCAAATGCACTCTAGCAAACTTCAGACGGACCTGGACATGTACTGGCTTAAGCAGGGGGACACGTCTGGCACTGCAGGATTTGAGTCCCAGGCGGCGTAGTGTGTTACTGATGGTAGGCTTTGTTACTTTGGTCCCAGCTCTCTGCAGGTCATTCACTAGGTCCCCCCGTGTGGTTCTGGGATTTTTGCTCACTGTTCTTGTGATCATTTTGACCCCACGGGGTGAGATCTTGCGTGGAGCCCCAGATCGAAGGAGATTATCAGTGGTCTTGTATGTCTTCCATTTCCTAATAATTGCTCCCACAGTTGATTTCTTCAAACCAAGCTGCTTACCTATTGCAGATTCAGTCTTCCCAGCCTGGTGCAGGTCTACAATTTTGTTTCTGGTGTCCTTTGACAGCTCTTTGGTCTTGGCCATAGTGGAGTTTGGAGTGTGACTGTTTGAGGTTGTGGACAGGTATCTTTTATACTGATAACAAGTTCAAACAGGTGCCATTAATACAGGTAACGAGTGGAGGACAGAGGAGCCTCTTAAAGAAGAAGTTACAGGTCTGTGAGAGCCAGAAATCTTGCTTGTTTGTAGGTGACCAAATACTTATTTTCCACCATAATTTGCAAATAAATTCATAAAAAATCCTACAATGTAATTTTCTGGAATTGTTTTCCTCAATTTGTCTGTCATAGTTGACGTGTACCTATGATGAAAATTACAGGCCTCTCTCATCTTTTTAAGTGGGAGAACTTGCACAATTGGTGGCTGACTAAATACTTTTTTTCCCCACTGTACATGGTTTCCATGTGTTTGATGCCATTCCATTTGCTCCGTTCCGGCCATTATTATGAGCCGTTCTCCCCTCAGCAGCCTCAGCTGGGATGAGAGACTGTAAACGTGGCCTAGTGATGACAACACAGAGAGGCATTCTGAAGTGGTGACTAACACCTGTCTATTTCACATACAATATTGTGCTATGGAAACATTCTGGTGGGGTGTTCTCTACAAGCCCAAAAGTAGACAACAATTCAACCTGTGGAACTTCCTTCTTCCTTTTCCTCAACTTTCCTCATTTTAAACACCCTTGGCTGAGGTTAAACCTCCCCAAGTAATCTCCTTTCCAAAACCAGTTGGCTAACAAAGGCAGCATGCTGCTAAGGCTAGAGAACACAGACCAGTAGCGGACAATGCTCTCTACATCAGCACAGTGTGTGTGGACAGACAAGGAAGTGTTTAACCGTCGGACTAAATAGGACCTGCTGGAACTTCAAGTGGGAGGTAAGGGACATGTAACGATGGGGAAAATGCCTTAGACAAACAGAGTGTGTGTGCCAGTGTGTATCTGTCTGCGCTGTCAACAAAGCCATTCCGGGCGAGTGGCCCTACCTGCCTGGTCCTCTTTTGATGCCCTGTGAACCCGATAGCTTCAATACAAACAGATAGGAGCCAGCCACCCCAGTGATACCTACAGACAGACTGGGCCATAGAGTAATCTATAAAAGACTATTGGTGGTCACTGGAGCATGCCTTCACCTCCTGTGGAACCTTGGGCTCCAGCCTTCAAAGCCAACAGATATGCTAACTCAATGGAACGACTAACATTAACTAATGGATGTCAACATGTCCGACACTGCAAAACAATGTCTACGTTTCTTACTGAGACTTCTAATGAATGAATGAGTACGGTAGAATGACTGGCTGAGAGTGGAGTTGCTTAACTAACTAGGCGTATTTAGGAAAACACCTGCATTGGAAGTAGGTCTATAAGATACAAGTATAACTGTATGGCCCACCAACAGTATGAGAAACTCATCTTGAGTGGGCTAATTGACTAAGCTAACTTGTGAATCTTTTGACATTGTGTAAAGGTATCGATCAGCTTCTACCCAAGCCATAAGACTGCTGAACAATTAATCAAATGGCCACCCGGATTATTTGCATTGACCCCCCCCCAATTACCTCGACTAACCTGTACCCCCGCACATTGACCTGGTACCGGTACCCCCTGTATATAGCCTCGTTATTGTTATTTTATTGTGTTACTTTTTTAAGATGTAGTATTTAGTAAATATTTTCTTAACTCTATTTTCTTAAAACTGCATTGTTGTTTAAGGGCTTGTAAGTAAGCATTTCACGGTAAGGTCTACACCTGTTGTATTTGGCACAGGTGACAAATATAATTTGATTTGATTTGATCAAGCATGGGTGAAGAACCAGTGATCTATTCAAAATGACTCAAGACAACAGTGAGGTAAAGAAACAACAAGACGTGGTGAGAAAATAAGATCATTCTTTTCATTATTAGGGAGTCGGGACAAACCTGTTGTCTCTTCCAGAGCGTGGAAAGAGAAAATACAAAAAGAATGTTGCATGAACACTAAGACAAAACACTGCAGAACTTCATTTCAATCTTCATGCAACCTATGGTTGGTTAAATAACTTGGGAAGTTTTCGAAGCAAAGTGCAGTGTAGACACAAAATCCGTCTTGGCTGTGCGGTGTGTTGATGCGTAACCAAACCGATAGATTCACGACGTGCTGTTCATGCAGATCAAGCCTCTACTGTACATTATACACATTGATCTGCAATTAAGGGACGAAAAGTGTTGCATAATATATTAACAATCGATCGGAAAAGAACGTAGAAGAAGAAAATGCCAGTTTAAACACTTTACTTAAAAACGCCACTTTACACTTGATCCAACTCCAACTCGACCTAACACTACATACACACAACAAAGTGCTCGCTAGCTAGAGTGAGTTAACTAAAAGCCTTTGTATACAACACAGTGCACAACACATTGGCTTGTCGATCAACCAACAGTTATCACACGTAGGAGTAGGACAATGGGGTCAGTGCCATTGAGAGCCAGTCAGTCAGTCAGTGAGTGAGTGAGAGCTGGCCCGTAAGATTACACTGGTCCTTACAACTGGCTGTCAGGTGTTGGCCCGTCAGATTACACTGGTCCTTACAACTGGCTGTCAGGTGTAAGCGTCAGATGTAACAGATTCGCTATCTCTAGTTGATCTAGCTGATGGGCCAGTGGTGCGTTCAGGTGTAGAGAGAGGAAGACACGACGCCCGGAGGACCATAACAAGGTGGGAACACAAATATAGAGGGTAGGAGGGGGGAGTAGGGGTCAGGGGGTCAGGTGGGGCAGGAAGGGGTGAGTGGAGAGTGGGGTGTTGGGAGAGACATGGAGGAGGTTAAAGGGGTGAGAGGGGAGTGGGGTGTTGGGAGAGACATGGAGGAGGTTAAAGGGGTGAGTGGAGAGTGGGGTGTTGGGAGAGACATGGAGGAGGTTAAAGGGGTGAGAGGGGAGTGGGGTGTTGGGAGAGACATGGAGGAGGTTAAAGGGGTGAGAGGGGGAGTGGGGTGTTGGGAGAGACATGGAGGAGGTTAAAGGGGTGAGTGGGGAGTGGGGTGTTGGGAGAGACATGGAGGAGGTTAAAGGGGTGAGAGGGGAGTGGGGAGTGGGGGTGTTGGGAGAGACATGGAGGAGGTTAAAGGGGTGAGAGGGGAGTGGGGTGTTGGGAGAGACATGGAGGAGGTTAAAAGGGGTGAGTGTGGAGTGGGGTGTTGGAGAGACATGGATGAGGTTAAAGGGGTGAGAGGGGAGTGGGGGTGTTGGGAGAGACATGAGTGAGGTTAAAGGGGTTGAGAGGGAAGTGGGGTGTTGGGAGAGACTGGAGGAGGTTAAAGGGGTGAGAGGGAAGTGGGGGTGTGGGAGAAGACTGGAGGAGGTTAAAGGGGTGAGAGGGGAGTGGGTGTTTTGGGAGAGCACATGAGGAGGTTAAAGGGGTGAGAGGGGAGTGGGGAGTGGGGTGTTTGGGAGAGACATGAGGAGGTAAAAGGTGTGAGAGGGGAGAGGGTGTTGGGAGAGACATGGAGGAGGTTAAAGGGTGAGAGGGAGTGGGGTGTTGGGAGAGACATGGAGGAGGTTAAAGGGGTGGGAGAGACATGGAGGAGGTTAAAGGGGTGAGGGAAGTGGAGTGTGGGTGTTGGAGAGACATGGAGAGGTAAAGGGTGAGAGGGGAGAGAGTGGGTGAGAGGAGAGGTAAGGGAGGGGAGGAATAGAGGGTAGTTGGGAGGAGAGAGTAAAGGGAGGCTGCAGTGAGAGGTGGAGAGGGGAGTCAGAGAGTTATTGGGGGAGAGATGGGGAGGTATGGGATAGTGTTAGGTTGAAGGGGCGGGTGGAGGGAGCGAGTAGGAGGAGGAGTCATAGGGAGGGAGGGTGGGGAGAGAGAGGGTGGAGGGGTGAGAGGGCAGAGAGAGGTGAGAGGGGTGGAGGTGGGGGAGAGGGATGGAGGCGGGAAGGGTGGGAGAGAGAGGGAGGGAGGGGGGGGAGAGGGGGGAGGCGAGGGAGGCTGGGAGGGGGTGGGGGAGAGGGAGGGAGGGAGAGGGAGGGAGGCTGGGAGGGGGGGGGGAGAGGGCGGAAGGCTGGGGAGGGTGGGGGGGAGAGGGCGGGGTGGGAGGGTGGAGAAGAGGGAGGGAGGGTGGGGGAGAGGGCGGGAGGCTGGGAGGGTGGAGAAGAGGGAGGGAGGCTGGGAGGGTGGGGGAGAGGGCGGGAGGCTGGGAGGGTGGGGAGAGGGAGGGAGGGTGGGGGAGAGGGCGAGAGGCTGGGAGGGTGGAGAAGAGGGAGGGAGGGTGGGGGAGAGGGAGGGAGGGTGGGGGAGAGGGGGGGAGGCTGGGAGGGTGGGGGTCTATTTGAGAGTGCTCTTCATTACATGCTCCGTTTCCACAAAGCATCTCAGAGTAGAAGTTCTGATCTAGAATCAGGAACCCACCTGGCCATATAACCTTATTCAATATGAGCTATAAGGCTAAACTGATCCTAGATCAGCACTCATACTCCGAGACACTTTGTGGATACGGCCCATGACTATGAGTATGAAATGTGGGTCTCTACATCGAAGTAGAAGAGGGAGAGAGGGAGAGGGAGAGAGAGGGAGAGAGAGGAGGGAGAGAGAGTACTCCGAGACACTTTGTGGATACGGCCCATGACTATGAGTATGAAATGTGGGTCTCTACATCGAAGTAGAAGAGGGAGAGAGGGAGACGGAGAGAGAGGGAGAGAGAGGAGGGAGAGCGAGAGAGAGAGAGAGGAGGGAGAGAGGGGAGGGAGAGAGAGAGAGAGAGAGAGAGAGAGAGGGAGAGAGAGAGAGAGAGAGAGAGAGGGAGAGAGAGGGGTGTGGAAAGTAGAGGATTAGAGTGCTTGACCACACTCATCTCATGCTATGGTTCAAGGTTCTAGATGTTGTCTACCTTCTCATCTGTGTGTGTATGTGTACCTCTACCTTCTCATCTGTGTGTGTATGTGTACCTCTACCTTCTCATCTGTGTGTGTATGTGTACCTCTACCTTCTCATCTGTGTGTGTATGTGTACCTTCTCATCTGTGTGTGTATGTGTACCTCTACCTTCTCATCTGTGTGTGTATGTGTACCTCTACCTTCTCATCTGTGTGTGTATGTGTACCTCTACCTTCTCATCTGTGTGTGTATGTGTACCTCTACCTTCTCATCTGTGTGTGTATGTGTACCTCTACCTTCTCATCTGTGCGTGTATGTGTACCTCTACCTTCTCATCTGTGTGTGTATGTGTACCTCTACCTTCTCATCTGTGTGTGTATGTGTACCTCTACCTTCTCATCTGTGTGTGTATGTGTACCTCTACCTTCTCATCTGTGCGTGTATGTGTACCTCTACCTTCTCATCTGTGTGTGTATGTGTACCTCTACCTTCTCATCTGTGTGTGTATGTGTACCTCTACCTTCTCATCTGTGTGTGTATGTGTACCTCTACCTTCTCATCTGTGTGTGTATGTGTACCTCTACCTTCTCGTCAGGGATGCTCTGGTGGATGTTGTCCAGGTAGCTGCTGATGTTTTCTACGTTGGTGTAGCGCAGCAGGATGCGGGCAAAGTCCTCCTCACTGATAGTGGTCATGCCTTTAGAGTAGGTCAGGAACTCTATCTCCAAAACCTCTGTCTGTAGGTTATCCATGAACCTGGGGGAGGGGGGAGAGAGAGAGCGAGAGAGAGAGAGAAAGCGAGGGTTAGAGAGAGAACGAGAGAGAGAGAGAGAGGACCAAGTGACAGAGAGAAGGTACATGTACAGTCGTGGTCAAAAGTTTGTAGAATGACACAAATATGAATTTTCACAAAGTCTGATGCTTCAGTTTTTATGATGGCAATTTGCATATACTCCAGAATGTTATGAAGAGTGATCAGATGAATTGCAATTAATTGCAAAGTCCCTCTTTGCCATGAACATGAACTTAATCCCCAAAAAACATTTCCACTGCCACAAAAGGACCAGCTGACATCATGTCAGTGATTCTCTCGTTAACACAGGTGAGAGTGTTGACGAGGACAAGGCTAGAGATCACTCTGTCATGCTGATTGAGTTAGAATAACAGACTGGAAGCTTTAAAAGGAGGGTGGTGCTTGAAATCATTGTTCTTCCTCTGTTAACCATGGTTACCTGCAAGGAAACACGTGCCGTCATCATTGCTTTGCACAAAAAGGGCTTCACAGGCAAGGAGATTGCTGCTAGTAAGATTGCACATACAGTGGGGGAAAAAAGTATTTAGTCAGCCACCAATTGTGCAAGTTCTCCCACTTAAAAATATGAGAGAGGCCTGTAATTTTCATCATAGGTACACGTCAACTATGACAGACAAATTGAGGAAAAAAAATCCAGAAAATCACATTGTAGGATTTTTAATGAATTTATTTGCAAATTATGGTGGAAAATAAGTATTTGGTCACCTACAAACAAGCAAGATTTCTGGCTCTCACAGACCTGTAACTTCTTCTTTAAGTGGCTCCTCTGTCCTCCACTCGTTACCTGTATTAATGGCACCTGTTTGAACTTGTTATCAGTATAAAAGACACCTGTCCACAACCTCTGGAAAAAGCTGGAACCAAAGTAACAAAGCCTACCATTAGTAACACACTACGCCGCCAGGGACTCAAATCCTGCAGTGCCAGACATGTCCCCCTGCTTAAGCCAGTACATGTCCAGGCCCATCTGAAGTTTGCTAGAGTGCATTTGGATGATCCAGAAGAGGATTGGGAGAATGTCATATGGTCAGATGAAACCAAAATATAACTTTTTGGTAAAAATTCAACTCGTCGTGTTTAGAGGACAAAGAATGCTGAGTTGCATCCAAAGAACACCATACCTACTGTGAAGCATGGGGGTGGAAACATCATGCTTTGGGGCTGTTTTTCTGCAAAGGGACCAGGACGACTGATCCATGTAAAGGAAAGAATGAATGGGGCCATGTATCGTGAGATTTTGAGTGAAAACCTCCTTCCATCAGCAAGGGCATTGAAGATGAAAAGTGGCTGGGTCTTTCAGCATGACAATGATCCCAAACACACCGCCCGGGCAACGAAGGAGTGGCTTCGTAAGAAGCATTTCAAGGTCCTGGAGTGGCCTAGCCAGTCTCCAGATCTCAACCCCATAGAAAATCTTTGGAGGGAGTTGAAAGTCTGTGTTGCCCAGCGACAGCCCCAAAACATCACTGCTCTAGAGGAGATCTGCATGGAGGAATGGGCCAAAATACCAGCAACAGTGTGTGAATACCTTGTGAAGACTTACAGAAAACGTTTGACCTGTGTCTTTGCCAACAAAGGGTATATAACAAAGTATTGAGAAACTTTTGTTATTGACCAAATACTTATTTTCCACCATAATTTGCAAATAAATTCATTAAAAATCCTACAATGTGGTTTTCTGGATATTTTTTTCTCATTTTGTCTGTCATAGTTGACGTGTACCTATGATGAAAATTACAGGCCTCTCTCATCTTTTTAAGTGGGAGAACTTGCACAATTGGTGGCTGACTAAATACTTTTTTTCCCCACTGTAAATCAACCATTCGTCGGATCATCAAGAACTTAAAGGAGAGAGGTTAAATTGTTGTGAAGAAGGCTTCAGGGTGCCCAAGAAAGTCCAGCAAGCGCCAGGACCGTCTCCTAAAGTTGATTCAGCTGCGGGAACAGGGCACCACCAGTGCTTGCTCAGGAATGGCAGCAGGCAGGTGTGAGTCCATCTGCACGCACAGTGAGGCGAAGACTTTTGGCCTGGTGTCAAGAAGGGCAGCGAGGAAGCCACTTCTCTCCAGGAAAAACATCAGGGACAGACTGATATTCTGCAAAAGGTACAGGGATTGGACTGCTGCGGACTGGGGTAAAGTAATTTTCTCTGATGAATTCCCTTTCCGATTGTTTGGGGCATACGGAAAAAAGCTTGTCCGGAGAAGACAATGTGAGCGCTACCATCAGTCCTGTGTCATGCCAACAGTAAAGCATCCTGAGACCATTCATGTGTGGGGTTGCTTCTCAGCCAAGGGAGTGGGCTCATTCGCAATTTTGCCTAAGAACACAGCCATGAATAAAGATTTGTACCAACACATCCTCCGAGAGCAACTTCTCCCAACCACCCAAGAACAGTTTGGTGACGACCAATGCCTTTTCCACCATGATGGAGCACCTTGCCATAAGGCAAAAGTGATAACTAAGTGGCTCGGGGAACAAAACATTTTGGGTCCATGGCCAGGAAACTCCCCAGACCTTAATCCCATTGAGAACTTGTGGTCAATCCTCAAGAGGCGGGTGGACAAACAAAAAC